TTTTTATCTTTCTTTTTTTTTTTTGTGAAAACGCATTGCTATTTTTCTTTAAAAAATAGCTGTCAGTCTGTTGCTTTCTGATTGGCCGAGGCGCGTGCTATATCACTGCACACGCCACACGAGCGCGCATTATTTTCGTATCTCACGCTCCTCACAAAACCCACAGAATGAAGATTTAGTGTTGCGGAATGCAAAAACGTACGATTGTGCACGCACGTGCGTATTTTGGTTAAATGTAAGCGCCGCTGTCTTCAACTTCTTACCGTGACCGTGTCGCGTGCGATGACTTTCCACATTCATTCAAAATCTTCCCTATTCCTTTTCGTATCCGTTTCTTTATCTTTGTTGAGTAATCTCTAAACTCTGGATCTTTGTTAATGAATTTTAGATGGAAGATACRAGGACAACTGACCGGAAGCAGACGTTCCTTGCATACCTGGTAGAGACGGTACGCAGAAGCTTCCCTGATGTGTGTAACTTCTATGAGGAACTTCACCTCGAGGGCGCCACCCAGGGTTAGTTGAAAACCATATATCACGCGAAAACAAAAATAATTCAGTAAACAACTTGAGATAAAATTATATTTGTATCCTTCAGTGACCATGACATTTTTTATGGGAATAGACCTAATTATGGCTTGATGCAATGTTTTCCCATTACAGACAATGTGTCATTCCCAAGAACATTACAACATTGGATATAGATACGACTCAAACAAAGAAAGAATCTTATTTCAGACAAATAGTCTGAAATTGGTAAACATTGCATCAAGAAGAAATTAAATTCAAAATCAGTAATGAAAATTTAGATTCAAAATAATAAAATAATTCTACTAACGGAAAAGAAACTTTAAAATCAACATGTTTTGCACTTTTTCTACTCTTAAAAGCGTTTTATAGCTGATTAACGAGAAACGCTCCCATGAAACGCTAACAAAACATTTATTTCAATTATCATTCGTGTCTGGCTCATTCATTCACTCTCATCTTTTTATTATTTCTTAGTATCCATCCAAACACTTGCTGCTGATGTGCAAGGACTCAGAAAAGGCCTTGACTTGACAAAGTCAGAGAAGGACAAACAGCCAAACAACTTTGTGATATTTGTATCCTTTTGTAAATTCAAATTAATGAGCGAGAAGATCTTCGTTTTGTTTTGTTTGTCTTTGGTTTAAGCTCTCCAATGTGACAGACAGACAAACAGACAGACAGACAGACAGACAGACAGACAGCTACAATAGACTAACAAAGAGGACACATTATATACAGACATTTTAAAAACTCCGGAACACTTCCTTGACATGTTTTTAGAATTTCTACAACCGCGCGTTCCGTAAAGTACAACGCGTAACCGAGCGGTTCAGGAAGATGGAAGAGGCGTATTCCACTGTTTGTGCCATGTTCTTTGAGGACCCAAAAATTCGTGAACCTTCTGAGTTCTTCAAGACGTTCGTGGACTTTATTGCGCTGTACAAGGTGTGATAAACAATCATGAGATGCAAAGTAAAACTGGGAAATAGCTGGCTTTTCAGTCTAAGGCCGGAAAAAAAAAAGTTCTTCGAAGAGGAGGGATTGAGCCCTTTTCTTTCTTCAATAAACAAGATGCATTGTTGTCTACAAGCCGCGCAAAACTAGTTGAGTCCTACTCAACTTCCCCTTTTCATCCAAACACAACACAAACTCTATCACTCCCCCCCCCCCCTCCCCCTCGCAATGTTGAGATGATCAGCTTGTGATTTGAGTGAGTGGTGTACCTTACAAAAGAAAGATGGATCATCCCACAATTCTGTGCAAGTAGTATTCGTCGCCAGTTCTCTTGAGCCTCAGAAAACTGATTAAACATATTTAGACAGGGTGTTTACTGAAGGTAAGGTTTTTTTACACAGAAAGCCGAGAGGGAACTAGACCAGCTCAATCGCCATGGCTACACCGCTGAAGACAAAATGAAGCGGATGTTGAGCAGAGATTATCAAAGTATGGCAAGCCAAGCTGCGGACGAAGCAAGAAGAAGATCACAGTACAACGGCTTTGACGCTACGATTATCTCAATCTAGTCCCATTCCTTTAAGGAAAATCACGTGATCAGCCTCGTATCCTTATAAGRAGAGTAGTCAGTAATTACAGGTAGTATTTTAGACGTCGTATATTTTATCTGTTTGGTTTAGGTATGAAAAAAGATGAAAAATGTGAATGATGAGAAAGAATGGAAGAACTAGAAGAGAAAACAATAGTATGTGTTGTATACACGTGTAAATACTTGGCTAACAGAGCTAAGTGGAACGATTGAACATGAATGGGGGGAAAAGGAATAAACAGAAGGGGAATGTAGACAAGTATTGTACGGGTAGAATTTTTTGAAACACGAGAGTAAAATAGAGGAAAGAGAGAATGGAGAAATGGGAAAAAAGTCGATAACGTGAGCACAAGAGGACGAGAAGTGGAGAAAATATTGGAATGAAAGTGACAATAGGAAACAATTATGGGATGGGAAAGAAAGAAAAGTCAAAAATAGGAAGAACAGTATTTTATTTTTTGAGAGTCTTGTTTTTGAACAATATGAATTTCCAATTAACTTGCATTCCGTAAAATAATGATTATGATGATTAAGTACTTTGGGACAGGCGCTTTGCTTATTACTGTCTCAGAGTAACGAATGGATTTTCAACACATCGTTAATATCAGAATTAATCATTTTACATGAGAATGAAGGGAAAGAGAGAGGAACGGGATGGAAATGGGATGAAAAAAATTCCTGTTTCCATTCAAAATATTCTCATTGACATAAGATAAAATTCAATAATTTTACATAAATTTTCGTAAAGGTATAATTTWAGTTATTTCATTTTGGTTAAGGCAAAAAAAATGTACATAGAGAAATGAAAAAGCAAGCAAAGGTCATTGTTCAAGCTTGTTCCTAGAGCCGATATATTTCTTACTGCGCATGAAAGTTTCGTCGAACATGCGCAGTACGAAAAAAGGGCTCTGGGAACGAGAATGGTCATGCACACTGCACCACCAGTAAATATAACTAAGTATAAAACGGCGAATAATCATTTAAAAAGCTGTATATTCGAATAAGAAAGATTTTATTACACACCACTCCTATGATATATTTCGCGCTTGCTATTTCGTGACCATTTCCTTAACTATGCACTCATTTGGCAAAAATATATAAAAAGGAATCAGAAGTAACAATTATGTTTATTAGTAACATCAAGAGAAAATGAACTAAGAGAAGGAATCTATGGCATTCATGCTTGAACCATCATAGGCACCATTTGATGCTATTTTTAGAATCACATTTGCCATAGTTTGTTTTTGGGCACGCGTGTTGTTGACTGCGCGTGCTCCACGCTGTTTGCTTACGTTTTTTGAAAAACAAAAGAAAATGAAGTAAGCTGGGTAGAACGCGCGCAGTGTACGCGTTCAGAAAAAAGACCAAATGAATGATTCTAAAAATAGTATCATAGATTCTAAAAATAGCATAAAAGACTGCACATAAGTGGGCGCGGGGATTTCTTCTTTTAGTTCATATATTCTCTCGGTAACTTTTTGTTTCCGGTTCCTTTTTCTCTTTAATGTATTGTTAGTTTTGAGCTCTTTGGAGCTGCGAATGAATTTATAAAATGCCTGTTTTGAAGGCGCTGAAGTATTGTGTATTATTTTCAATATTATCCTAATTATTTTGAAATGTCTTGTTGGGTAAAGTTACATGTTATACATTTCTAGACGTAATGCAACCAAAAGCAATTCAATTAACTTGAGACATTTTAAGGTTTAAAATTTTTTATTATACAAAAATAAAAGTGTACACAAAAGTAAAGTTTTGAGTAAAGTCATTGACTGAATGCATTTTTGAATCTTTAGTGTATCCGCACATTCTCAGTTTAGAAAATGATATTTTTTTAGCTTGTATCTGCCTATGTTTTGACACCCAGATTGGGAATTAGTGAAAGGGCCGGGTCGAACACTGTAGCTTGCTTTTGCATGCGCATGCTAGTTAACGTGAGTGCTTCCATGCTAATCATATGCGCATAAATAAGTCAGTAAATTGCAATGCGCACGATGCCTCCAATCTCACGGGAAAATATTCTACACTCAAGCGTTGATCCACCATGTGAGCTAGCTTCTGAGAGTCCACTACTAGTATAATAGCACTAACACAGAAAAGAAGCATACGTACTTGGCCACAAGTCTGTCTGCCTTCGGCTTAGGTCCTTTTTAAGAGATTTGGTAAGTTTAGCTTTTCATTTTCTTCTTACAGCTTAATTAAGGCACGGTCTATTAAAATTCAATCACGGTTTAGGAACTCTTTTGATTCATCAAGTGACACAGCAACAGCTTTAGGCAAAGCTTGTCTATAGTCTTTCAGCTTTATAACTATGAGCTTAATAGGAATTCACTATAGTAAAAAATAGAACTAGTTACATGCATTAAACTATACTGGTAGCAGAGCTGTCAACTCTCCCGGATAAACCGGGAGTCTCCAGATTTTGGGCCGTATCTCCCTGTCTCCAGATTAGAGTCTCAAATCTCCCGGATAATCCCCGAAGCTGACCATTTTTTCTTGTGAGACCCGAGTTTCACAACCATAAAATTCCAATTATCTTACGTTGTTTGTGTTATTTTACATCGCTAACAAAATCAAAACGTTCCTCATGGCTGTTCTTGCAAGCAGGCCATTGTAATGTAAGCGATAATCTGATTGGTCAGAAATAAACCAATCACATCAAATGTTAAAAACCGAAAGGCGTCTTTTCGCGCGCTTTTTGACGCGCTGTGACGTCATGTCCCTTCCCTATCAATTCTCCAGATTTGAATATCTCGGGGGTTGACAGCCCTGTGGTAGTATTTATTGTATTAAGTTCCAAACTTTGCGTTTCAAGTTAACAACTAGTCCCCAGACAAAAACTAGTCCCCCGCACAAAAACTTCGTTTAATCACAAATCATCGCATACGCGCAGTTTTAAACGTGAAAAGTCTCCATCAGACTAAAAATAAAGTATTTTTCATCCTTGATCACAGCTTTTTGAATTAGCAATTTGGGGAATTGAATGACTTTTTGCGTGACATTTTGCGTGACTTCTTTTTAGATTCATTTTAGAGTCTAGACATTTTTTGCGCATCAATGTCTGACGAGGAACCGAAGCTAGGAACAAGTGTTTCAACCAGCCATTTGATGCCAGACACCGTCAGAAACAAACGAGAGATTGTCAAAGCTAAACTTATCTATCTCTTCTACCTTGGAGCGAATGCGTCACTCACGGCCTATCTACCGCAGTGGCGGATCTAGGGGTGGGTTTTGGGGGTTGCAAAATGATGAGAGTCATCGTGATTTATTTATTTATTTTTTCATGGCAACACCAACAGCATCGCGAGTTTTATTAAAACAGGGGTGCCGAACACATTTCGCTCGCTTTTTTTTCTATACGCCTTGTGTGGGACCTGAAACAACCATRCTTGCCTGCAGCAAATAATAGTCTCCCTAACCCTTTGGTCTGCTATATCTCTCCACCACCTCAATCAATGCTACAACCCCCCTTTGAAAAAATCCTGGATCCGTCCCTGTACCGGTCCACAATCCGAGGTCAATTGAAAGTGCTTTTTCCAGAAAATTAGATATATCACTTACGATCTTTAGTCAAAAACGCTTGATTTCTCAGTAGATTAGTTCTTGATCCATCTTTAACTTTATAAAAGTATTTACGATTGTTGTTCTTGGCCTTAAAAATTTGTTCTAAGCCGATGTTTTCTTCAGTAGCCTCCTGAAGCGCTTCCGGTTCCCGTCATTCCCCCACTAGCGTCTGCTCGAACTCTAAATTGTTTTCTATTAGCCAATCAAATTGCTGGTTGATATGTAAATGTTATATAAAATATCTACATATCATTTGAAAATAATTGTCATCAGCAATCCATCGAAAATAGCATCTAGTTTCGAGGTCTTGTCCATGTTATCCATTTAAGAGACAGAGTACACGATATTCTTCTTGTTTGGGGTTGCCATTAGGCATTACATTGTATCTGGAGCAGCCGTTACTGTTAGTGCTAGCGTGTTAACCGAAACTCGTCTTAACGAGAGTAGACTTTTTAGTACGTTGTTACGGCACACAGTATACTGTGTAAATATGCACGGTAAGTGTTGGCGCTGGAATTAGTGGCCATCGTCCTTAAGTGAGAGACAGCTGGTACCAATAAACATCAAAACGAGGCTAGCTGTCCTTCCTAAAAGAGCGTTATGTTGGTATGGTATTTCCTAATGGCTCTTTCAAGTATATTTCAATCAAAAAAGCCAACGTGTCGTACTCTGTGACAACTGGCCTCGTTTTCACGATTCTTGCCACCAGACTCCCCCACGGTCCTAGAGATATGAATAAGATGGTAATACACTACTATTACGGGAAGTAATTCGTGTTTAATCGCTTTAGTTTTGTCTTACAAGACTTGGTACACAAATATATAGCATTCTCCATAGTAAACTTCCTTTGTGTACTGTCCTTTGGTGTTGGATAGGAGTTTCCAGGCTTTCTTGTCACTCAGCTCTGCCATCTTAGCCTCATGGCCATATTCCTTGTCGAACATAACATCTTCTCGTATTAAGAGGCAAAYMAGGCCACCAGGCTTGACCACTCGTACCATTTCATCCATCGCTCCCTCTGCCTTCACGTGACCGGGTATGAACACCGCCGAGCAAATGGCTGCGTCGTACGTGTTGGATGGAATGGAAAGCTGTTTACCTGGGCCAAGAAACTCCACGAAAAAATTCTTGTAAAGCTCTTTGCCTCTGGCTACATCATTGCTCTTTTCGGATGGGTCCAGAGCATCAAGATTAGTGTAGTTCAACCTTTTGAGCTCTTCACCTACCAATCCAGTGCCAGATCCAACATCAAGTATCCTACAGTCTGTCCCAAACTGGTGCTTCTCAAGGAACTCTACGAGCGTCTTTGCGCACACTTTACAGCCTTTATAGCCGACGGCTTTGGCATGCTAAAATCATGTATTAGTAATTAATGTATGTGCGTGTTGAGGGGCGGAGGGGGCGACTATTTTAATATATGCTTTCTTGATATGTGCTGTTTAAAATTTTACTTCAGGTTAAGAAATGAAAATAATAACGAAAAGATAAGATGGCTTAGCTCGTGAGCTCTTGTAATACCTGATTAGTGGATAGTTGGGGATCGTTGTGGATAGTTGTGGACAAAAGATTTCGTATTAGCATCCATCGTTAAAAATAAATAAATAAAATAAAATAATGGGGTTCTTATATATAGCGCATTATCACATTATCTCAATGCGCTTTACATTGCAGTGGAGGACTTTACAGGCTGCATATTAAGGCGCTATTATCAGCCGTGCAGCTTACAATCATGAGTGATTTGTTAGTACCTTAGTGTTATGCCTCCAAATTGGGATAGGCTGTTGAACCGGGAAACAATGGTCTCACATGGTCTATAGTTACTACTGTATAGTTGTTACTTCAAACGCCAGCTGATATTTTGTAAACATGCAAACCGTTGCTATTGCATTACAGCTAGTTTAGGAAGCACTGCATCTCGGAAAAAATGACATATTATGGTATACATTTCGATCGTACGATCGAAAAAAGTGTTTCCATATGATCGAGACGGATCGCAAAATTAGAATCCGCGGTTCTAATCTTTCGGTCGTTCTCAATCGTTTACAATCGTTTTCGATTATATGGAAACCAGGCTTAACTCTCTTGGGAATACTTGCAACCCATCAATACAATTCGTTCTAGTCTAGGGGGTTTACTAGTATTACCTTGGGCTCCCTAAAGTATTACCTTGTCGTAATCTGCTGCAAAGGAGTCATACATGTTTCGCAGCTGTTCTTGCTGATCAGGGCGGAGAGAAGTCATTTCACGTAATTTCCCCAGTATTTTAGGTAGGTTACAACTGTTGTCTTCCATCGTCACTTTGCCTCTTTTTAGGGGGTTGAGAAAAAAGTATCAGCWAGGCAACTAAATTTCGATCCAATTTGTTTGATCCTGCAATCAGACTGACTAGAGCTCGAGACAAAACTAGACCCGAAATGATGACGTGTTCACCAAAAGAAAGAGTATATGATCCACGGGAAACGCAAATAAGACTTATTTGTCTGTACAATAGAACGATTTTTTACTTGCACATGACCTTGAGACATGCTAATAACACAGTCATACCAATGGATCACGTTTCGGCCTTGAATTGTCAGTTCACTGCAAGTTAAAATCGAAGTTAAAAGATAGTTTATTAAAATTAGAGGCTGAACTGAGGAAACAAGAAGAGAAACAACTACAGAAAAGTAGCTGTAAAGCGCAGAAAGTGCATAAAAGAATGTGCAGTAAAGCAGCATGGGTACGCTCAAATTTCAATGAATGTTTTGTAATGCAGTTTTGTAATGTTAATTCGGTTATTTGAATAGACCTTTTTGCTTTAAGGTATCAGGCTACCCCAAAATTGCTCAAAAGAATCGATTTTTACATTTTTACATTTTGCGATAAAATATATGATAATATTCTTCGATTTTCCCCCCAAAAAAATTTTGATAGTTATTTTTAATAGCGAGTAATAAAAAAAATACGGCCGGTTTGTGTCAACAAAGGCGCTTCCGCTCAGTCAGAAACATTTTTGCTTTTTTCTCGGAAGTGATTTTGTGTTCAGTTACCCGTACATTTTGAGTCCAATGTCAAAGGGAATTTGACCGATTTACACCTTTTTGCAAGAACGTTGTCATACGAAAATAGAACATTAGTGATTTAGTGGGATAGGAATTATATTAAAAAACAAAAGAAGATCACTGAAGCTGAACAATTCTTATTAGTTTTAGTCTGGGGTAGAGTATGTAAAATCAAAATTTTAGGTCTGGGATAGGGTCAGGGCCGGGTTTTGAGGTCCTGGCGGCACACCCCTACCCAAGTTGGGGTGGTAGTACCCCCCCCCCCGGGCTTTTTTCGTAAAAATATCTAAAATAGACACAAAAATTTTAATACAAGTCTATTGAACGATTTTATTAAAATTAAAGTATGATTAATAAATATCGACATAAAACATTGGATAGCGACTCAATCAACCTTACCTACCCTGTCATTTGCTTTGCGGTTAATTTGAGGGACTACTGTGCGCGTGGAAATGGATTATTTTTGAAAGATTCAAAAAATAACGGTAAAAATCAAAGTCACACTGATAATCTGTTTTAGGCTTAGTGTTATTTTTCCTATTCCCTTTTTAGTAAAATTTATGGAAAAGTTTTTTTTGCATGTGGTTTCCCAGTCAACCTGACCGTAAGCAGGTAGAATACCACTGACCAATCAGAGAAGACCTTGAGCCGACCGGAGATATTTTGGTACCACAAGTCTCTGTCTATTAATAGTAAATATTATTCAATTTACTTACATATTTAAGGAACTGTGCAGTCGGCAACTGAAAGCAGAACTGAAAACGAGGAATAAATATTTGCAGTTCAGAATTCATTTTCACTCACGACCAAAATGCGAAAACAAGTTCATGTTACGAAGGACTACATCATCGATTACGTAGACACCGGTGGCAAGCCTTCGTCCCAGAGTAAGAAACGAACATGCCAGCCTCTAAATGTTATCGTCAAAGTCGTCACTATTAATGGTGGTTGGCCTCCATTGACTGCATCTGAACTTGCACAGATTTTGAACATGCTTGCTGAAGGAGAGAAGTCCAAGAAAATAAACACTGTCTTTTGATTAAGCGAATCAGGATGTTTTGCGGCCAATCTGATTTTAAGCGCCATTTTTGGGAATCGAAACATGAGATTGACACTAGTCATGGAAAGAGGGCTTCAAGTTGACATGAACGACAACTGCTCTCAAGCTATAATAGCCATGGAAGTGGATGGAACCATTTATAATAGTTCAAGAATATTTGTTGTTCTAAATTTACACGGTTTTATTTGCAGCAAAGTTTTAGTGTAAAGAAGAAAAGACTATTCACTTACAATTTTGTGTTATTTGAATCGACATATAAGATGAACAATATTAGTTGAGTTTATTAGGCTTAAGACTAGTTTAGAACTTAATGAGAGTAAAGGTGCATATAACGGGGAACAAAGTCGCGCAACATTAATTTTGTTGCGTTGGAAGTTTGCAGAGCGAATGCTGGTCTTGATTTTCTTTTTTGCAGCTAGAGCTAGAATTGAAGTAGAAAACTCTCTCTACTTATTACTGAACAATGCAAATGCACAAATGCATATTCGTTGGGCACGGGATGGTAATACGAGCAACATTCGCTCTCTAAATTGCAATTGCGTGATTTTGTTGTCCGTATTACTACACCTAGTCTCCTACGCAGCCGCTATTATAGTAGTCACGCAACGCTCAGGGGAGTGAGCGTTGCGTAACGACACTAATAGTGGCTGCGTAGGAGACTATATACTACACCTTGAGTGGAGAGTGGTACTATAAATGCGAGATACATTTGCTCTGGAAAGGTACGAAAATGATTCACTTCACAAGAAGATACTGAATTTATTTGAAATCATATTGGTTCGAATTATAGCTAGACTAACACACATGCAAGTCTTTTGAAGTTTTCTATTTATATTCTCTTTTTGTAAACTTTTTACTGAGTTCGAAATGTTGATATATAATATAATAAACAAACTAAAATTTGCTATCACTCGGATTTACATATAGGATATATAACCTGCCCTTTTTGTCACCTTTGAACTACGGATTATTCAGATCAAACAAACAAGGTGCATTCTGGTCTAGCTTGGGTACTCTCTTGGTGATAAACGGCGAAGTTTTTGCATCACGTTCAACTATGTCGGTTGGTCAAAAGATATAAATCCCGTCCGCTTGTGAAGAAGTACTAGATTGCAAATGTTCTCAATAGGCTTTGCTTCAGCTTGAGTACCCAATCCTGGTACCCAACATAGACCACAATGCATCATGTTACTGTGTACAGATACAAAGCATGCGGGAAATAGGATTTTCCGCCAACAAAAATTTGTCATTTTGTTTTTCAAACTCAAAATTCTATACCCCTCCCCCTTTTTATTTGGAGATATTTTTCAAATGAATGACAAAAGCGACTGGTAAAGTCGTACCGCTTGATGGCACACAGACCGGAAGTGCGTATCAAAATGGCCACGTATTTCCATCCACCAACCCCTGCGCACCGGTTCTGTTTATCAAAATTCCAAGATGGCGACGGAAAGTTTGCGAGAGAGGAAGAAAGTAGCTTGGCGAGAACAGTTTTTAGCCAACGTAGAAAACAAGGACAATTGTCGACTCGTGAAGCGCATTCTTAAGAAAGATCCCTCTGACCGTTCAGACAAGGACAGAAGCATTTTAAAGGAACTTGAAGGACTTGTAGCTGAAGTTGAAGACCGAGCCCGGAAGCAAGCAAACGCAAAGAGGAAAGCCGAAGAGGTCAATGCTTAGTGGATTTAAACTCACRATTACTATTCCCTATCCTTAAAGAGTGAATTTTCTAACTAAGGGGGTTTGGYTTTTAGATATTAGACCCAGAAGAGCTACTGGAAGAGAAAATAAGTTGCCTCGTTGAAGCAATTCGTCAAGCGAAAGCGTTGGTTGTGTACACTGGCGCGGGAATAAGCACCGTAAGTTTGTTTTCAAATTTTTATCTTTATCTTTTTCTCTTTTAGAAATAATTTCTTTATTTTTCTCTATCCTACAGGCAGCTCGTATTCCAGATTACAGGTAATTTAAAAAAAAAAAAAAAAATCCTTTATTTTCTCTAACCTTAAACTTGAATTTTATAGAGTACGAGCGTTAACGAAAACGATCTCATATTAACTAAACTATTCTTCAAGATTTCTTGGATGTTGTTTAAAACTTTGCATCCTTGTTTTTCTTGTCTCATATCAACAATTTTTTCCTCAAGAGGACCAAATGGAATATGGACTAGGCTTTCTAAAGGAGAAAAGTTAGGGTATGTTGATTAAAATGTTTGTGTGCATGTAGTATTTGGTAAGCTTATCTTAAATCGTAATTTAACAAAGGTTGTCATAAATAAATAATAATCTCTGCATAGCCAGAATCTTTTACTATATTCTTTTTCTAATCAAAAGCAGAACATATTCGTTATTGAAAATATTTTATCAATATTTGCTACATATTATCTACATCCTTTCTAACAATAATAAAAATTATATCTATACATATTTTTACAATTATAATCACTAGTCATCACTACTAATCACTATCATACTAATCATACATACATATTTTCTAGAATATAGAAGATATTTTTAATATATCTTTCCTTTTTACAAGTTATAAATTTCAAAAGTACCAGTATTCAATTTCATAATCTATCACACAATAATGATCCACAAAAGTGTTAAAACTTTAATTTTTTTCTCTTTCTACTGGTTTTCACTAGCGACACAAGCATTATTAAAAGCAGATAAACACAAATGCAAGCATAAGACTCCATACAAACACTGAGAAATGCAAGCAAGTTTGATCATTGTGCTTATGCTTGCGTTTCTCAATGTTTGTATGTAGTCTTATGCTTGCATTTGTGTTTATCTGCTTATAAATGCTTGTGTCGCTAGTGAAAATCAGGCTTAATAAGGATTTATTGCAAAATATTTTAAAATGTTTTTCTTGTGTATACTTTTTTCAACAGTTCATATAATTTGTGCGATGCTGAACCAACTGTGGCACACATGAGTTTAACGAAACTCCACAATGAAGGATTTGTAAGTATTGCATCCCAATAAACCATGAGTATAGAAAAATTTCATGCTATATACAGTACTGGTTGACACTTTAATGGTGCCATTTGATACAATGGTTATAACAGTTTACTGTGGTTTTTGATATTCTGAGAACTTATAATAATTATGAGCTGCACGATAATCAATCGTTAAATTTCATATTCTTGACTGGCGGCAGTAAAAACCAATGTATGACAAGCCATTGAAATGTCAAATGTTGAAAACTGCAGTAATTTGCCGATTGTCATGCAGAATGCAGGATGTTTCTAGACATCTGGGAACATGAGAATGTGTTTCTAATGTCTGGCATTCTAGCAACATGCATATCAAACTTGCACAATGATTGCAACAAGAAGTGCTGTTAATTGCTCTACCTGAATCCACTGTAAATGCAGTGCACCAAACAAACAATCTCTGGGTGGGCTGATCCAATTCAGGACATGTCTAGCTTACATGCAGATGAAATTAGAATTTATTGTGATACTTTTAGCAGAAGGAGAAAAACCAAAGGGGAGATACAACAAACTCAACTCACATTTTGTGGTGCGGAGACCAGGAATCAAATCAGAGACACTATTCTTCCCTCCTCCCTAATACCATCCCTTTCCTTGCCCCCTCTCCCAAAGTGCCGCTATGCAGGCTACCCTAGAGGTGATAGGCAAGTGTAGTACTACTACTCCACCCTAGATTCCCTAACTCTAAATCTATTCATTATCTTCTAGGTAAAACACATAGTCTCACAGAACTGTGACGGCCTCCACATAAGAAGTGGTTTACCAAAAGATGCCTTGTCTGAAGTACATGGGAATATGTTTTCGGAGGTTTGTATTTGATCTAACACAGGGATCCCATTTGAGATAAAAGTACTAATGTGACCCTGGTGGGGGTGGGGGTTAAATTATTTTTCATTCCTATAAACATTGAGGAAAATTATTCCTTWTCCTATAAAGTCGAACTATTATTCCCAGGTCTTAAAATAACAGCBGACATCAGACAGTGTCCGGCCAGAAGGGTTTGTTCAGTCAAATCTTTGCCTTGCCAGCCGCTTTGACCAGTAACATTTGAGCCAGAAATGAAGTATGAGTTCACCATGGTGTAATAAATAATGGGAAAATCTGAAATGGAAAAGTAAAATAAGAATGTGCAAGATATTTATTATGACTGCTATTTTTTTWAAATATTTTTAATCCCATATCCCTCCAGGTCTGCACAGAATGTGAAGACGAAAGGTTGTACTACAGATTATTCGATGTAACTGAGAGAACATCCTTAAGACGACACCAGACGGGCAGGAATTGTTATGAATGTGACTCTCCACTACGAGACACCATTGTTCATTTTGGTGAAAAGGGTTCCCTTGAGCATCCTCTCAACTGGCAGGAAGCTCTGGATGCAGCTAAAAAGAGCGATTGTATTCTTTGTCTTGGTTCTAGTCTGAAGGTAGAGTAATGTTAATCCAGAGTTTAAGATAATGGTTGGTTAATCGCTGGTCATGAACAGTGGCCAATTAGTAACTGTTGGTCATACCTAATTTCTGGCTTAACGTTACTGGCCAAAATGACCAACAAGGTTTGATTTGAGTGTACAAGTTCCAATTCTGGCCACACATTGTCCCTTTAAAGGCCATTATATTAATCCCTGTTAATCATGACAAAAAGCATGCAGGAATTGGCCAAGTGTTAGGAGAGGCATGACACGTGTATATCTTGGCCAATCAGCAAGTTTTTTATTTTGTTTATGAGATGAAGAAATGAGAAAACGTGTGCACCTAAGGTGTGCAGTTATGAAGTACGCAGGTATTGGGCGAACATGAGAGAAGTGTTAAGATAAGCACAACTAACATGTTCACTTTCCTCATGTCTTGATTGACCAAAACATGTCTTGACACAGGTATCCCAATGCATTACACTGTAATTTATTAATAAATATTGACTTCTATTAATAGGTATTAAAAAGATATCATGCATTATGGGGCATGAACAGAGTAAAGCACAAGAGACCCAAACTGTTCATTGTGAATCTTCAAGTATGTCAGTAACTTATGATTATAAAAATTATATGAATATTATTCTTCATTTAAGAAATATAAAGGTGCATGCATGTCTCTGTACTGTGATATAAACATGCTGGGAGCTGGCAAGCTCTCTGTTGCTAAATGAGATGTCCCTATAACAAAATAAGCATTACCTCTTGATACCACTGAATTCCAACTTTCTCCCATACGAACTCTCTAATTTTGTTCAAGATCTGATCCCCTATCCCTAGGAAATTACAAATTCCTCTGGGGATGGGGAGTATGGATAATTTATTTCTGTAACTACACATTCTATCTTTGGACTTTTACCTAGTTTGGAGCCTAGCATTGTTGTGATTGGCCCAAGCTGTGATACAACAGCTAAAGCTTTTCTTTAAAACTTTACTTTATAGATTTACTTGACCCATTGAATTTTACTCTAGAGGGTGATGACCAATCCTTACTTTTTGATTTTCTTTTCCATTCTTTACAGTGGACACCCAAAGATGAATGTGCAACACTAAAAATAAATGGTATGGTACATTTTTCAGGATTTTAAATTAAAACATGTCATTCCCCTGAGTATTGCTTCCTTTCCTTGCTAGTCACCCCTGTCTTTTAGTGACCACTGTCATAGAGGTGAAGCCTGCACTATGTCATCAGGCTGTAAGTTCTTGAGTAACACCACAGGAAGCCCAGCATTTGCAATTTAATGAACTCTCAATTAGCCAATGATCACAAGCACAAAGCTTTAGCTCAAAGCATGATGGGAATGTGAGTACTTACTCTGTTTCGGCTTCCCTAAACATTCACCTGACAATTTTCAAAAGATGAAAATAACAGCGTAACTTATTTCTGATAGCTCCTTTGATTTCTCTGCTCAGTGTTGCAGTATTAAGTTTGCCAGAGTGATTTGTGAGCTTTGATGCACATTGCCTTTTGCTATCGGTGTTGGATCAACCACTTCCCATTATCTTAATTTGCTCATATTTATAGTGAACCTRTCCTAAATTTTTTTCTTCTATTACAATCATTTCTTATAGTAGTAGCCACTATAGTAGAAGCTTATTCATCAGCACATATTCTTGTCTTATTTTCTTCCAACTCAATTTATCCTCATTTTTTCAATGGTTGACATTTGAAGCTCGATGTGATGATGTAATGCGTATGGTAATGAACAAACTTGGATTAGAAATTCCAGAATACAAAAGGTATACATTATGAGACTTGTATCAATGATTTAATGTGAATTGGGGGTATACTCTGGTGGGTAACATGACGGGGAGGTCCGATGTATTTTTTTTGGGTTGACAATTTTCATTCCCGGTATTTTTTTGGGTCAAGAGACCAGCCACGTATTTTTTTAGGTCTCCAAATGAAACCYGTATTTTTTTGGATCGTCATAATGAGGACCTGTCTGTAAATGTAAAGCAGTAGGGAAGATGAACAGACATTAATGGACATGCAATCCATTAAATTGTTTTTCGTTTTATATGCAAAATCATGCATTAGAAGAGCCTGTTGAATTCAATAAATCAGTTTTAAAGTATTTAAGTCTTGTATTTTTTTGGGTCAGAAATTTGGATGCCATGTATTTTTTTGGGGTGTAAAATTTCAGGTTTGAGTATTTTTTTGGGGTTGCAATATGAAGCTCCATCAGACCCCCCATCATGTTACCCACCCGAGTACACCCCCTGGGGAAATTATTTTCAAAGACAGCAGCCTGGGTAAGGCATAGAGGTCCCCCACTTAAAATTTTGGTATGGCTCAGTCCCCCTCCCCCCTACTTTTTTAAGGTAGTCCAGAAATCTCCTATRATATTTTGGTTATTCCATTACTTTCAATTTCCCACCAGTCTTTATTTTGTACTAACGCCTATAATTTGTGCTTTGTTGTTTGTGTTTTTTTAATAGGTAAATTTGATGGCGTGGTTAATGTTGGCAAGTTATTCACAATATTGACCTTTATTCATTTTTTCTTAGGAGCTGTGATCCTCTCTTCACACTTGCAACTCCATTACAGCCACAAGAACTCAATACTCATAGCACCAAATCCCTCACACCGCTCATGGACCCCTTAAATATGGACCCTCTACATACACCCCTATCAAAAGAGTCCCAAAACGCGAACGAAGAAGGTAATCTTAAAATTGAAAGCAATAATAGCAATGACCATGAGGGAGATGCGAAAACTTCATGTCCTGGTTGGTATGGTAAAGGATTTGGCAAAGTGAAAAAGTCTGCTAAAAGACGCAAAACGAGATGACAGCATTTATTAGAAGATAAATTGAGTACATTTTTCTAGGAGAGTACCCGGGAATTGCATGTTTAGCTCTGCACAACAGTTGCCACACCATTTTCCAATATCCACATTATCATTATTACGACTCTCATGAAAGAAACTTTGGCAGGATGAAACCACAGCTAACCCAGTATTTGAAAATTGATATTAGATTTCTATAAAAAAATTGACAAAAAAAAAAAAGATTACAGAATACATGTTGTTCACTTTCTACCCCTCTCACCTCAATCATGTGCACTGTTTACTTTTCGTTTCTATGGTCACCTTGTTGAAAAAGACTTTGATTACCAATATTGCATGTAGCCTGAATTGCTTTGCCGCCTGCGGGTGTTGCACAATTAATAATCAAAACAATAAATTTATAAATTCTACTTCTTCGTCAAATATTTCTCAGCCAATTTAAGGATGTATAAATGAGGCTGACCTGTGCAAGTGCATGAGTCGGTTGTTAATAGATAATTACTGAGGCACGCAGCATTCGTAGGTATAATGCATTATACCTACGAATGCTGCGTGCCGAAGTGATTATCTAGTTATTGTTCTTATCAAAATCCAATTGTTTTCTTTCTAGCTTGTTCATCATAGAAACAAAGCCAATAATGAATGTACTAAATATGTCTGATTTTCCTCTATGCATTCGTTGGGATAATGCAGACTGAAAACAATGGATTTTGATAAGATCAGTAATTATTCTTAAAGAACAGCATTATGCATCGAATGCAAGACTGGTGTATTTATATTGCTGTAGTCTTACATGCAAACCTCAAAATACCTTACAATTGTAAGGTTCACGGGTGTTCATTTAGAGCTCTTGTATAGTCAGATAAACTAAAAAAAACTCAGAGGCACGTGGCATGGCTATCTTCAAAATAACTTCCAATTGTGACTTTAAGATTCATGGGTGTTTATTTAGAGCTCTTGTATAGTCAGATAAACTAAAAAAAAGTCAGGGGTACGTGGCATGGCTATCTTCACCCCAGAAATTTTGTTTTTCCAGATTATTTGAAAATTGTCAATATATCTGAGTGTATGTGTGTCTTACCTTGATGACACCAAATATCCTTGTCTTATTGAATGAAATCATCTCTTCTTACAAGACTTGATTTACAAAGTACCCAGCTACACCACAGGAAGCCCAAGGCTTGTTTCAGAGGGAATGTTTGACTTTGATTGATTTGAATTATTACACTTGCATTGTTTATCTGCTGGTAGCTTAAAGCTATTTGGTGCAGGTTCAAAAGTAAGACAGACATCTATAATTATTAGCCTGCGTAGTGGCACTTTGGGGAGGGGGAAGGGGGTGTCTATAATTACAATTCAAATTAAGATGCTAAAAAAGAGGTGTATCTAGTTGAATGTTGTATTTCTTGTTGTTCTCACAAGACTTGGTATACAAACATATAACATTCTTTGTAACCAGGTATATAGGGCTCCTTGGTTTTAGATAGGAGTTTCCAGGCTTTGTTGTCACTCAGTTCTGCCATCTTAGCCTCATGGCCATATTCCTTGTCGAACATTACATCTTCTCGTATTGAGAAGCAAATCAATCCACCAGGCTTGACCACTCGCACCATTTCATCCATCGCTCCTTCTGCTTTCACAATCCCTTTTGAAAATACTCCTATGCTTACGACTGCATCATAGGTATTGGATTGAATGGAAAGCTGTTTATCTGAGCCAAGAATCTCAACAAATATATTATTATAAAGCCCTTTGGCTCTGGCTACATCATTGCTCTTCTCTGATGGCTCCAGAGCATCAAGATTAGTGTAGTTCAACCTTTTGAGCTCTTCACCTACCAATCCAGTGCCAGACCCAACATCAAGTATCCTACAGTCTGTCCCAAACTTGAGCTGCTCAAGGAACTCTATGAGCTTCTTTGCACCATTTTTAGGAGAAAGGTAACCAAGGAATTTGACTCTCTAAAATTTAAATGAAAATGAATTACAAAGAAATAATCGAATAAAAAAGGAGAAAGAGAGGGAAGTAGGAAGGAAAAGAGGAAGGAAGGAAGGTATCAAAACAAAAATAGCTTTAGTAAATTATTCATTACTTTGTGAAAGGAAACGACTTTTCTAAATAGTATAAATCGATTAACTATAAATGAGCAGGAACTTGTGGATAAATTGAATCACCATGATTAAAGCTTTGTGAAACTGACGTTTCGGACGTTAGTCCTTCGTCGGAGTATGTGATTGATCGATTTAATTTCCAATCACTTTTTATCGATTCCATGGGCTTTATGCATCTATCAAAAGGGGGGCTATCCTCGGGGAAATTGACTATTTAGCGATCAAACCGACCAAATGCACGCTTGTTTTTTTAATTTTCTATGAAATATGACGCCATATTAATATACTTAGGAGTGAAAATATCGTCAGGCATAAATCAAACTAATACTACATGGCTATACCTTTTTWAATCTACTGTAATTTTGTATTGTCTGGCAGACGACAATGAGAACAATATTTAATGGTATTTTGCCGTACCTCATCGTAGCCTTGAGCTCTGGAATCAAACCATTCTTGAATGTCTTTCTTTTCGGCACGAAAGACGGAATTTGTCTCAGCAGTAGAAGCAATAGCTTTGGCCCACTCGTTATTTGCATCTACCATCTTCTGAAAATTTAAATTTTTTAACTAGTCCACGCAGCCGCTATTAGTGTCATCACGCAACGCTCGCTTCCCTAATAGTACTTAGGGGTAGGGYTGTCCACAAATTGCTCCAAAAAGTTGTTCATGATTTCCCAAAAAATTGCTCAAAAAATCAGAGTTGCTCCGAAATCTAAAAGTTGCTCAAATATTTTTAAACGTTTCTTATCAATTTGATGATTTCATAACTTAGAATTGTTAACATAAATTTAGAATATGTTAATGGCTTCAGCTTTGTTGAGAATCACTGGAGCATTCGGAACGTTGCTTCGTCCGCCACCTGAATTTGAATCATTGCAGTAAAAAATTTTTTTGTTCTTATTGGGTCTAATGATTGGTTTGAATTCTTGTAAAAGTCAACAAAAAAAGTTGCTTAAAAGTGAAAAAATTGCTCGAAAGTATAAAATTTTGTATCCAGTCACAGCTTTTGAAATCCTAGGGTTTCCCAGAGACCTGGCATTTCATCAAGCAGGTGCGGCATGGATAGGACTCTAGGGTTAAGAGTGGTTTAAACACATAATGTACAATAATGTATGTTTGCCATTCAAAGTGATTATATTCATGYTTGGGTTTCCTGTGTTACACCACAATCAACAGGGAATCTCCATTAAAAAGTGAATCAATTCCATTCATTTATCAATCAAATTTTTATTTATTTGTTTTATTATTATCATTATCAATTATAAAAGGGAAATTATTATTATTATTATTATTATTATTATTGTTATCATTGCTACTACTGCTGCTGTTGCTGCTGCTAGTGCAAGTGGCAGATCCAGGAATCTGAGAAAGGGGAACTGGAAAATATTGGCATTGGAAGAATGCTGTTGACTATTGGGTCTACGGACATGCTGTCAAGAAAGTTTTTTCAAATGTGGCTTCCAGTAATGCTATTTCCTGTGAGCTGGGGATATTTTAGACTAAAAAGAAAGAGAATACCAGACTAAAAGGAGGGACCATGGCCCACACCGACTCCCTGACCCTTAATCCACCCATGAGTGTTAGACTGTGGCAGTCTCCTTAGTTTTCTTGGTCACTCTGTATGATTTATTAGTTGGTTGAGGAGGGCAAAAGGCTAAGGAACAAAGACTTGGGAAGGGGAGGGGAGGGGAAGGGGAGACTACAAGTGCTCTTTTAAGGTTAAGAATCAGACCAACCAGCTACATTAACCTGTACTATTTTATATGTAATCAATGATATAATATATTTCACACCATAACTTTAACAGTAAACAAATTTAGAAAAGGAAAAAAACTAGAAAGAACTGCCATCACTATTACTGTGTGTACACACTAAAGAAAATTAACTCATCATTACCTAGTGTGAAAACAAATGTGCTAATAAATGAAAGCCCTCTTATTGGGGTTGTTGGACTGAAGGCAATGAGAAGATGGCTCTGGAAGCCCCCACACAATCCATGTTACAGTCTATTTATGACCCCAGAGCACTGCTCTAACCAGTATGAATTATAGTTAGGATTGGTTTGAGAGTTCAATTTAAGTACAAAGGTGCAGAATTCCATTATGAATTAAATTTAAAAGAAAGTTTCATAAAACTTGATAAACAAACATATGACACTTGAAGAGGTCACCTGTCAGATGATACATTTCAAGAGACTTGGACAAGAGTGTCCATACTTTCCCTTCTATCAGTTGTGCCATCTTCTCTTCATATCCATATTCCTTGTCCAAAATGACATCTTCTCTTATTGAGAAGCAAATCAGTCCACCAGGCTTGACCACTCGTACCATTTCATCCATCGCTCCTTCTGCTTTCACATTCCCTTTTGTGAATACTCCTATGCTTATGACTGCATCATAAGAGTTAGGTAAAATGCCTAGTTGTTTTCCGGGCAGTATTAACTCAACAAAAAACTTCTTGTAAAGGCCTTTGGCTCTGGCTACATCATTGCTCTTCTCTGATGGCTCCAGAGCATCAAGATTAGTGTAGTTCAACTTTTTGAGCTCTTCACCTACCAATCCAGTGCCAGACCCAACATCAAGTATTCTACAGTCTGTCCCAAACTTGAGCTGCTCCAGGAACTCTACAAGCTTCTTTGCACCAACTTTAGGGCAGATGTAGCCACGTACAGTTTGTGTATCCTGACATTGTGTAAAATATCTTGGTTAGAAGACTTTCTAGGAACTGTCTGTGTGCTATGTGGCCTTATGCGCCTTGATCCCGATGCAATATGAGACTAAGTTAGCAGAAGTGTGTGGCATCAGGGAGGTGGGTGGCATACTTCACTTGTTCCAATCCATTTTTTTCTTACTAATTTTCATTGTTATTATCCAAAACGCCTATTTATTTTCTTTTTATTGTATTTATTATTGTTCAGGGGCTGAAAAGCACCCTAAAAAGTGGGGAGGGGGCTAAGACTGGAAAATATATGAGACCAGTATTGAAAAAGGTGTGTGGAGGGGGGGGGGGGGGCAGAACTGAGTGACAACAAAGCCTGGAAACTTAGGGGAAGGGGAGGAGCTAAGATTACAAAGTATAAGATACTATTTGGGAAAAAGGGAAAAAGTTGGGAGGTGGGTGCCGTAGCCCCTCTGGCCCACCTCCTCCACGCCCTTCTTCGTTATCCTTCATGTTCAGTGCCTAGAACAGCTTCTGGATAGGCACTTTAAGAAAATGTATTATTATTGTTATTATTATTATTATTATTTCTTAGTGAGAAATTAATGTAGAAGTATTATTATTATTACTGATTGTATCTCGAAGAATTAATATTGTCAATAAAGTTTATTATTTATTTTAAAAAAAAAAAATCATTATTATTATCATTATTATTATTATTGTTACATCATAGCCGCCATAGCTTCTCTGTTTTTACTAACATGTTTATTATTTATTTTTAAAAAAATTATTATTATTATCATTATTATTATTATTGTTACATCATAGCCGCCATAGCTTCTCYGTTTTTACTAACATGGGGGCTGTTTCATTATTAATTTTTCAAGGGATTTTGAGACATGTGGTTGCACCCCAACTGATAGTTCAAGATTTACCAATTTAAAAAAATATTAATTTACGTTTTCTTTGTAAAATTGTTGTTTACGAATTTCGACCTCTAACTCGACGGTCAACCATGTACAATATCAGCGTTCAGATAGATGTCTGAAAAAWAATAATAATAATGAGATTAACAGTGGATTCCACAGAGTGGCTCTTCTTCCACTGGTTTCCAATTGGAATTTAGAAGTTGATTTTTGCGGAGGTAGGAAAGCCGGAGAACCGGGAAAACCCTGAAGCACAGGAGAGAACCAACAGACAACTCCACTCACATACAACACCGAGCTCGTCGGGAAAAAGTAGTTTTCATACCTTATCATATTCTTTTGCCCAGTCATCATAGTACTTGATCAGTTGATCAGTATTTTCGAAATCATTACACCTAATCGAAGTGGATGCACTCGTACTCATGGCTGACTACTTTTAAAAGTTCGATTTAAGCCCACGATGTGCGCGGGCTCAAAAACACAGGCAGCCCAACTCTCATTCTGTGCTTTATTCAGTGGTGTTGTGTCTGTGATGACGTCTGTGGTGGTATTTTGATGTTTTGCTAATTTTGAAACCAGTTTGGTGCATCGAAAACCCTCAATACTTATTATGGGCTTATTCGAAAAAAACTCCTCAAAATCTAGGTTATACTTTCTTTTTAGGAAAAGTTGATTTTTCTAACAAAATTAAATAGATTGCTAAAGGGATTTTTTTCGACTTCATGCCGGAGTTTTTGAGAGCACTGAAAGGACAAAATATTAATGACAAATCGATGTGATTCTTTGTCGTTTTATCAAAAATATCCATGTGTTATTGTAGGATAATGCACTAACCRTCATTCGTGAAATCTAAGAGTGTGCAATGAACTACTTACGAATTTTTTTTTTTTTCTGATCACATCCTCATTAAAACCAAAGAAAGAATACTCCACTCAAAGATTCGAAGATTATGGTATTTTATGATTATTGGGTTACCTGTGTCTTGTCTGCTGTGTTGCAAGCTGGGATGGAAATATCGATCAACTAGAACAGATGTTTCTGTTTCTGGAAGGGCGAAGGGAAGGGTAAGTATGGTCGAAAAAAACATCCAAAAAACTGTTATTTTATGCCTCATTTCTTAAATAAAACTGTGCCTTAGGATACATGAATAATCCTTTAATCCAACTGGCGCTAAATTTTGATATTTTACCCTGTAAAAAGCGTGTTTATTCAAACCTTTTTGGAATTTTTACAAACCTTCACACTCGCCGAAGAAGCATTTTCAATAAGGGCGAAGAAGGAAACTAAATCTGACTTGTTACTGGCCTGCATTTATTATTATCCCTCTTTTTTGCATTCACAAACCAGACTTTCTTTCTTCCAAAATAACTTCAAAGAAGGTGGTAAAGCTTAATTGGATATTTTTTACACACTTACGTTTTATATTACTTTGTCTGATCAGGTACTAGGTTTATTGAACTAAAAACTAGACTGTTACACCTTTTTATTACAAAATTATAACCTTAACTTTTAGGTAGACGTTGTAGAATTAGAGAGATTTAAAGATTTACCTTAAAGAAAAAAAACACATCGTCTGTCTAATGATTTTTATTTTCTGTATATTATAAGCTTACTGATACTCCCTAAATTTACACAAGGGAGCTCGCCAAACTGTGTCTTACGCGTAAACAAGACCCAGTCTGGCGTTGTCCGGCGTTCTCCCTTGATTTACATTGACATYTTTGTAATATATTATTATGTTATTTAATTATGAGCTTACCTAAGTGAGTGATAGCAAATTTAAACATGAAGATTACTAAAGCAGATCTAGATTGTGGTATGAAATCGCCCCAAGTAAGGGAATCCGGACTTAAGGTGTTTTTCCGGATTCCAAGCACTGGTTTCCAGATTCCGAGACTGGATTACGGATCCCAAGCGTCTGGATTCCGGATTCCAAAACTCTTGTATTGCGGATTCCAGATTCTATATCGTTAATATACATCTGATGACAGATGTTCTTGGTGGAGATATTTGAGTGTAAAATTTGAGTTTCAAAGTAGCGGATTCTGGATTCCAAAAGGGTAGATTTTGGATTCCATTATAAACTGGATTCCAGATTCCAAGGCCTGGATTCCAGATTCTAAAATTTCATGTCATATTCTTTATGTTACAATGTAGTAATTTTGATTTGATTTTTTTTTTGGCCTACAGAGATCGCTAAATTACTTGGACCCTCTATCTACACCTAAAGGAAAATGATCCCTATTGGGCTATTATTAGCTGAGCCCGATACAGGCCTCAAAATACTGACTCCATGGTGGGATGTGTTAGCACACTACCTTACCGCTGCAATAATGACCATTGCACTGACGTCCACTGCATTACAAGCAGCTCTTGACAACCTCATATGCATCCCTGCTGTGGATTGTTCCGAGTTTCTTAATGATCCTCTTGCAGTGTGGAATAAAACACTCCCAAATAACAATCTCCTAGGAGACATCTGCAGCAAAGGAAAACCAATGTTAAACTCGTCACAGGCTATCCTAATGACGACAATGAGTGACAGACGTCAGTATGACTTCATTGATTCCATGTGTTATCGAAAAGTATTACCCTGGTTTTCGGCATTCTTTCCTTTCATCATTTTCTCACAGGCAGTCTTCTTTCTTTTGATTGATAATTTCTGGAGCAAAATGCCAAAGACTTCCTCTACATTGAATCATTTTGTAGCATTAGTTATGGAGTGTTACAATGCAGAGGCTACACTTTCGGATGTGCTAAAAGAAATAGCATCTGAAGCAGATGAGGAAGATGAAGGAGAAGACCTGCTATCAGGTAAGGTTGCCATTAAACCTGAGAAAGAACCATTAATGGACACACCCGATAAAGAGTTCAAGTCAGAGGTTCATGAAAATGAAGATCGAAAAGACTCACAGAGAGAAGAAACCACACCTTCTCCCTCAAATGCTGTAAAAATAAAAGCTTTGTATGAAAAAGTGGGTGCCTTCAAACGCAGATATAAATCTACCTACACTTTACTACGAGTATACAAACTGCGAGCAGTCTCTCAAAGCATAATGTGTTGTTTTGCACTCACAATTAATTTCTTATACTATAGCATGCTGAGAAATACTGTTCAGTGCCAGCTACAACAGGTCTTTATCACTGATTATGAGTTTTTCCAATGCTCTAGGTTTATTGCACCATTTTATCGAGCTGTTGTTCTTATAATAGCTATTCCTGTAGTCATGTGTTTAGGCACATCTTTTTATGCCCTTTGCTGGGTGTTTTATTACAGCCGAGATGCTAAAGTAAAAACAAATCTTGATACATCTGAATCTGTACGAATTAGAGGCGACATGTCTCTTCTCTTTTTTCTTTTGAATGAGTATGACCAGCTGTACTCCAACAGGCTAGCTGCCTTTTTATCAAAGGAAAAGAGAAAGAAAATTGATAAAAAGTTGACTCTTGTACATAGAAAGAGTTTGCATTGAGAGTAAGTCTTCTATATGCCATCAGAAATGTACATCTTAAAATGCCTTAATGCCTGAACGTTTTATGCCAGGAACTAAAATACAAGCATGAAAAAGTTCAAGATTCTGATTCATGATGATTGAGTTGTTGATGATGATGATGTTAATGATGGAGATGGTGATGATGACGACCATGGTGATTTTGCTAATAATGATCATGATATTAATGATGGAGATGGTGATAATGATGACCATGATGATGATGATAATAATGGAGATGGTGATGATGATGACCATGGCTATAATGCTTGTGTTGATGATGACCATGGTGATTTGTTCATACTATCTTATTTAAGCTGTAAATACTATTCAATAGACCCTTTCACTGATACGGCAGCCATCTTGAATTATGTGATACCAATGGGGCAAACAGAGAAAATTTATAAAGCATAGAGTGGCAGGGTGACATTCTCAAATAATTTGAAGTCTTGGTGTTTTGCATATTGTTCCAACTACTACCAAATCCAATAGCCCACTCCCAAAATAAACTTTATTTGCCACACACAAAGGTTTCAGTTTGAGGCTTCATGCATAATGTTCAGTGATTCGTTACAGGAGAAAAGAATACATTTAATTTAGCACATAGCCTTGTACTGAAACCTTTGTGCGTGACAAGTGAAGCATATCTTGGAAGTCAGCTATCGCTTTTTAGATGGGCTTCTCGTTGAAAAACATCAAGTTACAGTCGTGATTAAAACAATAGAAATCAAGAATCAAGATGGCTGCAGTTTTGGTAAAAAGGTCTATTAATCAAATAACTTATGTTAACCTCATAAGTAAAGCATGGATGAATGGATAAATATCCAATCATGCTACTTGGGTTACTGCGATTTTCGTAAACATGCAAATTCTGTGTCTGCRAGCTGCAAGCTGAAATTTGTTTTTTCGCTGCTGTCAATCAAACTTAATCAGTCGGTACCTTTCATGTTTTGGAGTGCAAGCAGCGAAAAACAAAATTTCAGCGTGCAACTGGGAGACACAGAGTACTGATGCTTATGAAAATCACAGTAACATTTACTAATTGTTTAACTAGTTAGCATATGTCTCTAATGTTGACAATGATGGTGACCTTACACTAAATGATTTCATTAGACAATGTAGCCCAACAATAGATAAATGTGATTATAAGGTGCTAAAATCTTATGTAAAACTGTTATATATATAATATTCAAAGAATTAGAGATATCCTTGCTTGTGGAGTATACCACATAAACAACATTTAATAATATTTAATACCATACTTTAGATGGTCTAAAAAAGCAATATTATTAGCTACAGTAGGAAAAGCTTTATAAATTTTATGATAATTAGCATTTTATTTTTTCGTAGTTTTATATACAGTGTCCAATGTGGATTAAGATTTTCTTCAGTTATTATTTGAGCTGTATATCCAATCAATCTGTAATAAAGAAGATTTTAAAATGTGGATCAAGCTTCCATAAAATATCCTTTAGCTCTACTCAAGGACTGCAGTGCACCCTAAAA